TGGGTGCGTGAACGTGGCGATGCATTATCGTACCAAGTGGATGCCATTTTGGGTTCCCTTCATACCTCTCGAGAAAGAGTTCCATTCACATGACCTTGCTCATTTCCCTCGGCATTAGTTTATGAGCTTTAAGAAAACGAAAGTCAAATTTAGCAGGGAAAAGACATCTATTGAAGCTTTTCCTTAGAAAACAGTTTTTCAAATAAGTCTCACAAGATTTGTGCACACTAGGGTGTCGGTATACATGAATGAACCTCTGTCCCCTTCTGAATTCAATTGTTTTGTTTTTTTAACTCTAAAAGTGGCGGAGATTTTGAAGAACAGAACGCCAGTGCAGGCAAAGGTGTTAATGGACCACTATGATACCACTGTATTTAAAGCCACGTTCATACCAAACTCTCACAGGTGAACGCGGCTAGTGACATCGCAAAAACCACCCCTGCTTCAGGAGGTATCCATAAGTACAATTCCAGGCCTTGGGAACCTGAAGAAGAAGTACCTGAAGAAGACTTTCTAAGGTCACTACAAGCTGCAGGATTCGAACCCCCGACCCTTTGATTGGGCATTACAAACGCCAACCGACAGGCCACATGTCCTTTCCCAAAGTTCCCAGGGTATCCCACTGCCCTTCTAGGGCGTTGCTTTATCACATTCATAAGGTGATGTTGAAGTTTGACTACAATTGATGGTACATTTTAAATAGGCTACAACACCACGCCAAAAAAGTAGTGCCTTGCAGTTATAAACGTGCGTGCCTTATTTTCAATCGACGCATAGGACGGGTGATTATTTCACCAACACGTCTATCTAGCGCCCTCATGCGAGTTGAAAACTTTGGCCCAATAGACCGTATTCGCGGCGTCGCCAATTTCAGTCGTATTCCTGAGCGTACAGTAAAATTTTGAAGTCCTTAATGGGATGGTACCAGGTGGTTTGGGGGGTCGGAATGAAATCGTAGGATATAGTTTGGTTCTTGAATGTAACGTTTTCAAATAAATACACTACGTTAGGGAATACGACTGAAATTGGGGACGCCGCGAATGCGGTCTAATAGCAATTTGGTTTTGACTTGAGGGAGTGGTTTCGCGAACCAGGCAGGGATGCTAAGTTACTCTCTGCTGCGAATTGCTGGAGGCTAGTTTCTTCATTGACAGTATCCGGTAAGTTTGGAAATACACAATGAAAATATTCGAATCTCTTTTTTAAACGGTTTAAGCCTGCTGTGTGTCTATTTAGAGAGGTCATGGGGATATGCTGTGGGGTAAAGAATGCCAGATGCAATATGCCGAGGTCCACAATATCTTCATGACAGTTGTCCCTGCTCCGATCCATCTAGCCCCACTACTAGCACTAGTGTGGCACGGACTCTCACTCCCGATCCATCCTCAGCCACACATCTGTATACGCAATTTCGTGTTGGCGTAATGAACATTTGCGGCTCACCCACTTATCATCGTGGGCGCAATTTCTTTTGCACACGGAGATAATTCTTAGCCTCTCCGCTTTCTTAGGGCCATTTATTGAATGATGTCACTCCCGCTGTTCTGGTATTTTCCAGTCTTTTTGCCTTCACCCATTCAATTTCACAGGCCCGCTCTCACAGTCGCCATCTTTAAAATAAGGTTGTTGAGCATTACGACACTTGACCCCTAATCGTCTCAACAGCTGTTCCACGTCAAGACATATTTAATACACGGACTGAGCAATAAGATACTACATGTACCAATGGGCTCTTCCAAAACTTTGGCAGCAGTTGATGAGATTGAATGGGTGAAGGCAAAAAGACTTGAAAATACCAGAACAGCGTGAGTAAAATCATTCAATATTAGGATTCAAAGTTTGTGACAATCCTGCAGTTTGGATTTCAGGCATTTAAGACATGCCTTGAAGTAGGGCTGTGGTGGCGAGAGATAAGAGACAGATTGTAAAAGAGGGCCACTACAGCCCTAGTTGTGGGGCTACATTAGTCCCAGACTGGGGGCCAGTCTACTGGACTCCCTCCGTATCTATACAGAGGCAGCGACGTTGCGAAGACATTTTCTTGGGGGGGGGTGTGCCAGGATCAATTTGCCGACTGGTCGATATACATCAATAATTCCTGACGTCAATTTCAGTGTCATTTGCCAACTGAGCCTTTATTTGCCGACTGAAAAGAATTATTGGGGGGGGGGGTGCAACACCCCCCTTAACTACGCTGCTGTACAGAGGGAGTCCAGTAGACTGGCCCCCAGTCTGGGGCTACACCATTATGTGCTCAAATTGGAGCCCCTAGAAGCCGATTTCATGAAACTTTACGCAATGGTGTAACTCCACTTAGGCCTACGCCATATTTTATTTCGTAAGTTGTGCAATGATTTAACGTTACAAGTAAGTAATAACTTCACCGAACAAAGCGAAAATGAACGGTTTGACTAGCTTATCTTGTTCACTTAAGCCTCATCATTGCTGAACTTAACAAGACTTAGACCTGTACGAGAAACGTATAACTTTATTGTAGAAGGTAATGAAAAACTTGTTTGGCTGTGAGAGAACTGCGAGATTTCTGACTGGTCCTGACAAAGAGGAGACAAAAACTATTTCAAAATGGTGGGCAGAGGTGATTCAACAACTGTTTGATGACTGTTGTGTATTGGACCGGAACAGCTGTCGCAAAAGCCATTTTTGTCCTCATCCAAGAAATTTAATATGATAAAATGTGGCGCAGCAACGCAACTTTTAATGAAATTGAATGTAAGTACATGTACCGGTATGTTGCCCAGTTACAGTATAAATTTGTGGCGTGAGGCTTAAGCATAGTTCAAAGTTATGCAACGTTTTGTGAAATTGGCTGCTGGCCCCTGCTGGCCCTGTCATGCTGGTGCCTGCAAACTTAAAATGAAAATTAAAATGAAACCCTAATTATAAAATAAATATGACCCTAACAGCACCAAATCCTCCAATTTCAATATGATTTTGCATTATACGCCCTTGGAGGTTAGGGTAAAAACAAAACCATGCCAACATTTCTGACTCCTTCTCACACCCTAAAAGTCACAGAATTATTTTTTTTCAGTGGAATTTTCAATGGTATAGGTATTTCACTTTCTTTTTGTGATCAGTGGCTTGGGCCCTAATCATGCTAATTCGATAGTTGGCTAGGCCTACAGTGCATGTAATTATGTTATGAGCCCCTTTGGAGTTAGTTCTGAACAGCCGTATTGAATGAGAGGAATTGTCGGCGTAGTGTTGAGCACTTTCCTTGAAGTGGAAGAGTTCTCTATACAGACAATAGAGCTATATCATAAGCCATCAAAAAGTGATAACATAGGGCCTACCCTAAAGAGTCAAATTTAGCAGGAAAAATATCAAATTATTTACCTAGAGAATACTTAAGATTTTTTGTAGGTCAGTGTCATAGGGTTTTGCACAGGGCGTCCAGTAATGTCTGCCTATGGAAATCTTTCCTGACGCCTAGGGTTTGTGTACAGGGTATTGGGTGGTCGTGTCCATGTATGGACCTCGTTCCCGATCAATAGCTATACATGTTCTCTGTGATCTTTCCCATTGGAGTTGCAGGGCTTGTTTTTTCAATATACACCCTAAGAAATTCTTTCTAAGAAATGAAGAAAAATGAAACGTGCCAAGAATTGTAGCCAGTGTTGTCATCGAGACCATCACAAGACCAGACACAAGACCATGCACAAGATAACTCACAGGTAACTGGTCGAACAGTGGCTAAGGAATGCTTTTGTTGCAGTTCATTTGAATTGCTTGTGACTTGAATTTGGACTTGACGTCTTGTGCTGGTCTTGTGAAAGTCTTAAGTGGTCTCGACCACAACACTGATTGTAGCATATCACTAACAAACAATAAAAGAAGAAACTTTGCCAGTGTTAGGCAGTTGTTTATTTTGCTTTCCGAAGAGCAAAGATACAAGATTATACACCAAATATTCTCTAATATAGTCATAAACCCAGTTCCATGGAGTACGATCCGGGGAGAGGGACTTGAGTATTATGAACTATTTGGGGGGATAAATTCCAGTCAGAGCCCTCTCTCCCTCCTCAACAAATCCTGGGTGCAACACTGTTGTTTATTATTTCAATCAAAATTTATGAATCTCAGTCAAACACTTTTTATGAGTGGTGATATTTGCCGGCTGTTGCGTTGTTATGCCTCAAGTGAAGCGTAAAACAAATTTGGCTTCCGACTGAGCAGTACAAACTACTCTTCAGAAGACTTACTCCATCCTTCAAAGGCATGAAGAAGAACACATACGTGTATTTCCACTGCCATTTCCCAACTTGTAAACTATCAAACAACATGCACCCTTTTTGAGTGAACCCAACAGTTTATTTTAATCAGTGCTCATCAGGTCAGCTGATGTGTTTTACACCAATTTAGGTAAAGCCTTGTTTTGTGTTTTTCTGATGTTTGGTTCCTGGGCAAAAAGGCTGGATGACAGAATCAAGAACTGGGGACATTCCTAGACTTTACGTTTGTCTCTTGGTATTTCATTCTTCATGGATGGTGTGATTCTCCCTCAATGCAAACATTCGTAGTACTCCATGCTCATCCCAGCACAGGCCAGCACATCCTCCTCTAGGCTCGCTGGGTGCGGCACAGGGGTGGGTCTCTCCAACCGCTCACTCTCAAAAGCATGCTTGTATAATCCCTGAGCTTTGTCGGCAATGCGGGACACTTTTGTCATTACCCACATGCTGGTGATCTCATCTCCTGCTTTCCACAACATCAACTTGTTAGAGTAGGGAATACCCATCCTGGTGCAGTGCGCAGACAGGATCCCTGCTGGATCACTCGGCAGGTCGTCAGCATCCAGAATGGTAGGATGAGGGTCCGTATTTTCTTTTACATACTCTACCAAATCAAAGAGCTCCTTAAAACTGGCTCCTGGAGGAAAAGCCAGTTGAGATAAGGCACGCAAGTCAGGAAAATCACCATAAGTCTCAGTGACAAACTTCTTCAGTGAATGGAACATTTTGTAAGGGTGACGAATAAGAAAGCTGGGCTTGAAACCTTGTGGCAGCATGGCATATCTGCCATGAAGGTACTGGGCTTGCTCACAGCACAAGAGAACCTTTTTGTCAGGGTAAGAGGCTTCTCATAGATTATCTCGGATCCATTGCTTCGACATCAAATGACAGTCTATCCCTTTGACCTCAACTGTTTCACTTTCTTCTCTCATTCCATCATACAAGGCTATGATCTTGGTCAACAGTGCATCCTTTGGATTCGGTTCTGGCCTTTCAGCACAGATTTTTGGCCATCAGCACAGAACTCATAGAGTCTATCAGGCCATTGATACAGAGTTACAAGAGTTCAAAAATTGACAGAGTTTGATGAGCTGTCAATACAGAGTAAGGGAGTTCCAGACTTCACTTACAATGTGAATGTGGTCCAAGTAAATAGCACTTTGACCTGTCCTTTAAATCCCCCATGTAGGGTAAAGGTTTATTCCCCCCCCCATCACAGTGGGAGATGTGACAATTTTAGGAGAAAAAGGGAATGATTTTGGGAAAAGTAATCCTCAACTCCCAGTAATCAGCTGTGGGTTAGAAAAAGATGGTGTTGGCTGAGTGATGAATGAAGTGTGTTTATGGTCTGTCTGCTTCCACTTTTGAATAAAAAGATGGTGGAAGCATTTTTTAAAAATTTTTATTAGAAAACAGCTGGTTTAGGGGAAGTTCTAGGAATAAAAAATGCTTCTGGATGCACTATTTGAAGAGTTAATGTCATCAAAAAAATTTTAACTTTGTAGCAGGCTTCCCAATAATCAAGCATTTTTCCAATTTTTGTCCATTCAGGTTTTTTGATCTCTTGTTTGCTGATTGGACAAACTTTTTGTTTTTGTTTTTGTTTGTTTGTTTCCTTTTTGAAGCTGAGTATATATTGTTCAGCAGTTGCTTCGCTAAACAATTCAAACACCTTGCATAATCCCCCCGCCCCCATTTCATGCACAAGAGCCAAGGAAAACCTGTTGACTTTCTAAATCTACATAAACATATTCAAGCTTTTTTAGTGCTAGCGTACCATGTTGTTTTTAATATTCGGAGAGATCATGGTGACATGTCGTAAATGAAAATCCTGAATGAACTCAACCTGCTCAAATGTGCCAAGTATTAGTACCTTAGCATAGAAATATGCAAAATTTTCCAAAACTTTTATGCTGCAGTTAAGGTGGTCTGCATTTCATCTGCCAATTTTTTAGGATTCAATTCAATTTTTAAGCGAGCCAAGTGATTGCTATGTATAGTGTACCACTCTAAGATAAATACTTTCAGGGCCGTCTATGCCGGTACACATCCAATTATTTTCCGAAAAGATTCGGTAGTGGATAGAGAACTGTTTGGTTCTCAACTGATTTTCCTGTCTTATTGACGGGACACTTTTGGTTGTTTGGGGAAGGGGCTGGGAGTCTGAGGCAAAAACCAAGGACATTCCTAGACTTAATATTTGTCTCATGGTCTTTCTCCTGTGATTCTCTCGCAAACATTCATCCCTGCACAGGCCAGCACATCCTCCTCTAGGCTCGCTGGATCTGACACAGGGGTGGGTCTCTTGAACCGCCCACTCTCAAAAGTATACTTGTAGAATCCCTGAGCTTTGTTGCCAATGCGGACTCCTTTTGCCATTATCCATCTGCTGGTGATCTCATCTCCTGCCTCAGGTGAGACATGCCTCCCTGAAGACAAGTTTTCTTGAATCAGGATCACTTAGCAGGTTGTCAGAGTCCAGAATGGCAGGATGGGGGTCAATGTTCTGTTTGACATATTCTACCAAATTAAAGAGCTCCTTAAAAGAGGCTCCAGGAGGAAAGGCCAATTGAGGTAAGGCACACATGTCAGAAAAATCACCATAAGTCTCAGTGAGGAACTTCTTCAGTCAACGGAACACTTTGTAAGGGTGACAAATAAGGAATCTGTGCTTAAAACCTGGTGGCAGCATGGCATATCTGCCGTGCAGGTACTAGGTTTGTTCACGGCAAAAGAGAACTTTTTCGTCAGCAGAAGAAGCTTCCAAGGGATTGTCTCGGATCCATTGCTTTGACATCAGACAACAGTCTGTCCCCTTGACCTCAACTTCTTCACTTTCTTCTCTTATTACCTCCTACAGAGCTATAATTTTTGTCAACAGAAACATGTTTTTCAACAGAATAGGTTTTTCCAAATTGACAGCTAATATTTTAAATGCTTTAACACACTTGTTCCCTACATACTCACTACAAGAGTGTGTCTTTCTTGGAGTACAGTTGAGAATATTCAGTGACTTTGCTGTGAATATATTATTTATTACAGAAGTTTCAAAGTCCAGAGGTCTTGAGATTAGCAAATGTCCTGAGTCTGTGAATCGACGAGAGTATTATCACAAACTGCTGTGAAGTGAGTAATGCTGGATGTCCTACTGAAAATGTCCAATTCATTTACGGTACCTATTGAGACCAATTCACTGACCCATTGGATCCAATTCACTGACCCACTGGATCCAATTCACTGACCCACTGGATCCAATTCACTGACCCACTGGATCCAATTCACTGACCTACTGGATCTAATTCACTGACCCACTGGATCCAATTCACTGACCCACTGGATCCAATCACTGACCCATTGGATCCAATTCACTGACCCATTCTATAGCCGATTCCAAAACCAATTGCTTTTGCTTGTAGTCAATTGGAATCCAATTGGGTTCAATTAGTTTGAATAGTAAATTTGGACCTTTTCTCAGTTGGACCATTTCAAACCAACTGACACCATTTAAATGCCAATTCACAATCCAATTGCAACCAACCAAAGATCCAATTGAAACCATTTCAACACCAATTCAAACCAATTGAGTCCCATTTGAAAAATCAATTTTATGGGGGAAACAAGCTGAAAGCAAACCAATTGGAACCAGTTGCATCCCATTTGAAATTTCCAAATGATTGAGGAAAACAAACAGAAAGAAGGCATACCACTTGGAATCATTTGATTCCCATTTGATAGTCCAATTGATTGGAAAATAAACAGCTAAGAAAAAAATGCCCATCAAAACCAATTGCATCCAATTTGAAATCTCCAATTGATGGGGGAAAACAAGTGGGAGAGAAAACATACCAACTGAACCAATTGAGCACCGATTGATTGCCAGTTGGAACCAATTCGTTCCAATTAAATCCAATTCAAAAATCAATTGGTTTGAATAGGCCATTTTTAGTAGGGTGTGCAAATTACAAAGTTTCGGTGGCTAAGACGGTGGGGTCAGAAAAACGGAAGAAGTTTCAATTTAATGGCGTGCAGGTAAAAACCTCATTTGAGTCATTTCAGCGTGACTCGTACTCAGAACTGTGTTTCTAGTGTCCATTCTGGTCATGTACCGTGACCTAAGAATCTGGCTGTGCACAGGCCGACTGTTGGATGTCTTTCTTCTTATTCAGCATGCAAGTGACAGTCAGCAATGAACCTGAAACACACACCATGATATCCAGTGCAAAAAAATTGGCTGTGATGAAAAAAAGGTCGCTTTCTCTCTTTCAAGAATATACTGGTTGCGAAACCGTTCAGTTTTTTAACGTAGCCTTGAGGTTGAGTTCAAGCATCCTGTCCCATAATCGGAGCAGCCAACTGCTTCGGCTGTAATTTATAGTATGTATGGTTTATGGTAGAATCTCGAAGAAAGCACAATGGTAATTTACACAGTCAAGTCAGACAAAAATAAAACTTTCCATCTCATTTCCTTGCAATTTCCATTCTCTTTTCATTCCAATCTCATACGAGTAGGATGTCGCCCAAGGCTACCGTTCACTTATTGTTCACATTGTTTTGGTCTTGTCCCCCAAATCACCCCAAACTAAGAACCCAGTCACCAGTAACAGCAGTTCGGTGTGGCGATGAATAAGTTTTGACTCTGTAATTGCAGTCCCCATGGCAATGGTGATGTCATCAGTGGGAGGCTGAAACCAAGTTAAGGGAGCAGAGATAAACTTACGGCATGCGCACGTTGATTTTCATCTGTCATTTATTTGCTACGGTTGTTGTTAGGTTTGCCAGGCTGAGGCAGGAAAAAATTGTAGTTAATATCAGCCCCTAGGCATACATGTCATTTGCCCTAGCATTCTTGTGAAATAGTTCATGAATTTCGGAGGTTGCTGTGCACGTTGTGGAGGGGCCCCTATTATCATTCAAGTCCACCTCTTTTTCCCTTTCCCTCTCTCTCTTTTAGAGCTGGAGCTGATGACATCACTGTTGCCATGGCGACAGGGCTCCGACAGACCGCTGAAGTTGCGCACCCAGGGCCATTGTAGGCTGTTATAGCAGATCTGTGGAAGAGGTATGTTTTCAATATGAGGTCTGTCTGAGCATAGCTTGCTTTGATTTTCTCCCCTTGCTGTTTACAGTTGTTACAGATGACCTGCCTCTGCTAAGCTGCCTTCAGGCTGTCTATACCCTGGCGAGGAAAACATTTTTTTCCCGACCTTGTTTGAATTAGCCACTGAGTTACCAAATTTGCTTGTTTTGGGGGCTCAACCTGCTCAGCAGATATTTGCTGATGACTTCAGGAAGGTGATGGTGAGAGGGATCAGGCATTAACACCTGCATGAGGTAGAGCTGTTGACTTAGAGGAGACAAAATTGCCTACAGGCCTGTCCCACATAGTAGATTATTGAGCAGGAATCTAGGCTTGGCATTAAGGGCAAAAACATCAAATCTCCCCTCTGTCTTTCATTGAGTCTGTAACATTGTCGGCTCATGGTTTGGCAGTTCCAGTGGAGTTTATTTACATATGTAGTTTCCACGTCCAAAACCAGGGAATGATTTCGTATGACCTGAATTTCATGTTTTTTAAACCTAACATTTTGGATTTTTAGTTCGTGGGTTTGTGGAATTTGTTATTGGCATGAAAAATGTTTCTGCTCCGGTTTCACATGCATCAGTGGGCTGGGGGTTTAAGCTGTCAACCTATCAACTGATTTCCTTCCAATGGGTTTCACATAAAAGTAACTCCATCACAAATCCTAGTCATATCAAAATATCAAATTGAAATTTTAAACCAAGGGTGTCTTATATTTTGGTAAATCTCTCATGATATTTTGTCATACGATATATTTCTCTGTACACTATTCCTTCCCCTCCACAGATATTTGTGTTTATCAGTTACGCCCATATTTGTTCTGTAATTGTGCCATCCTAAAGACCCTCCTCAAGAAAACCGCATACAACAAGGGGCTTGAATTCCCACACTGGGGAGTAAGTTACCACCCACACAGCGAAACCAAACCAGCGCAGCTTGACTAAAACCCTCATTATTCGTGTTTGGTACATCATTATCCCAGCGTGTGGGGCAAATTACCCTCATTCAAATTTACATTTAGCAGCTAATTCCATCACCTGTGAAAATTGAGAGCGGTGTGTAATTCTATCGCTCAAATATACCGCCTGGCAGATTTGTGACACAGATAAAAACAGGCTGTTTGTGCAAGTGTAACTTGTGAGGGAAGATTGTGGATTGGGAGTTTATTTCTACGTGTATGTAAAGTGAGTTTTAGGAAATTGGGCCAGATCACTTCCTATGTCTTTCTTTGTTTTTGGACGGAAGTGGAGGCAGTGCATTATGGATACATGGATATCAGGTATACGTGTATCCTCAAAATTCACCAAAATATGGTGAAAACAAGGAGATCCCTCAGGGAAGGATAGCCTGCTGAAACTTCAGTTCTCATGGTTGTGTAAACAACCCTCTGTTTTCTGAACTCAAGTATGGACTTACTGACGGGTTCTTTTTTGGGGGGGGAGGTTATAATAGCCACTTGTCTGTGGTCTCATAATGGTGCTATACACCATTGGCTTTTGCCGTATATATTTCAGTATTTACCAATTTAGGGATCTGTTGTTTTTACTTGCTATAAACAACTCATTTTTTTTCCCACATTTCAAAAATAAATCATATTCTCAGCACTGTATGTTATTCAGCCTACCAGTACATGTGCATTGCTGAGTGATACACAAAACTTCCACTGCTAATGCAGTCACTCCAAACCCCAAAATGGGGTTGCTGAAAGTTGCAATCAAGTTTTTGTATTCAGCTCTAGTATTCCATGGTCCTGAGAAATTGTCCGCGTTTAAAAAAAAAAATGATCTGGATTCTGAACACCAACTTGACCTGACAATCTTTACCCCCCTCCTCAGCTGTTATTGGCCCAAGGTTTGCCCCGCCCCCATTTTCAGAGAAATTCCATTAGTCGCCCCCCTGACAGGGGATTAGGGAATGTTAACAGGCTCTCTTCTCACTCAAGGGTAGAGAAATGGTACTACTGTATGCACTTGTTATTCTAATAGTGCACCATTGCCATCGACTTGCGTACTGGAAAGGACCCATGCAGTACGACTCACTTTTCCTCAACGTATGGAAACTATTTCAACTGCTTGTGGAGTTACATGTGTACTCGTAAATTTATTGGAATGTGAACTTTTATGAACATGAAAAATTGTCCAAAGCTTTTCTGGATGAGTGAGGGCGCTGTTGCTGTGAGGTAAAACTGGGAAGACACTGTTCACTAGATTACATTTTGAACCCAAAACTGCTCTTCGAAAAAATAATCCAGCATTTTTTTTTGGGTGCACAATGGAATGTACTTCATTGAGATTCAGTGTCTGGTATGACATTACTGTTTTAGTTATGAATATGCAAACTTTTCTAATGAAACCATAACCTCAGTGGCTACAAATTGCAGGTTAAGATAGCACCCTCCCCTCAAAAAAGACAAAATTAAAAGTAAGGTTGAATTTAATTACAAAGTTGCAGTTTCAAGGGTTGTAGCAAAATAATATGGCATGGTTCCTTTAATTTCCGGTACATTAAAGCCAAAAATCAATTGTGTTTGCTATTACACTGAAAAATAAAATAAATTAGGGCTGTTGGTTGGGTAAATTTTTTTTTCTGCTCTAAATTTTTATAGCCCAAAAAATTAGGGTCAGATGATGATTTGGGGGGGGGCACGTATATTTGTAACAGGTACTAAGTCAGTGTAAGATTGATACTGTACATGTGCGCATCAATATTACGTACTGTACCAGCTGTGTGATTGAGTAGTAAAGAAGCTGAGTATTTAAATACAAACACACAAGAGCTGTCCATCTCGTGCCCCCCAAAAATTAAAACAATACAATGTACAGGACAATGCACAAAATTAGGCTCAGGGCAAGGCACCATAAGTTTTTATATTTTATTGATTTGTCTAAGAAAAAGATATAGGTTCTGCGTGATTTTCTAGGCTGGGTCGGGTAACCGGAAACACAGCTATTTTTTTGTGTGGTGTAAAATATATAGGGGAGAAGAGAAGGGGAAAACTCAGATACTCTGGTATTGAAAAACTCAGATACTCTGGTATT